ATCCTCTTTTGGTACAGTGTTACTACAGTAGGAAACTAAACTAAACTAACTTTATTTGTACTGGATAACTATAGCAGTCATATTATAAAGTGTTTGCTTTTCTTGTTAAAGAACTTATGACAACAGAGGAAAGTCGAGGAAACACGATGAGAAATGATCTTGATGACTTGCAAAGGAAAGCAAACGAGGCGCAAAAGAATTACGAAGACTCTTCAAAACAAAATAAAACCTACGAGCTTGAGATCTCCGAACTGAAACAACAACTAACGCTGATGAAATACCAAATCGAGAGCCTAGAAATTGAGAAAAAAGACAAGTATCAACTCCAGGAGAAACTGACTGCAGCTGAACAGAAGTACAAGGAATTATTGAAGCGAAACGAAAGGGAGGAAGGAGAGGTTTCTAGTGTGGAAAATCTGAATGAGATTTTGAAAGGCGAAAATCTTCAATTGCGTGTCGACATCGGACGGGAAAGAGAAGAGAAAGATAACTTAGAAATAAAGGTAAATCATGGCTTTTTTATTATATTTTATTATTGGCGTTTAAATTATATCAGTACTTTTTGTCCATGTAGTTGACAAAGAGAGAGGCTGAATTAAGAGAAATCACGCTCAAACTAAACACTCTGACTGAAGAAATCCAGAAGATGAAAGCGAACGTGGACGGCGAGAAAGGAACGCGAGACTCTCTTGAAAAAGAAAATGACGGTTTGAAAACTGAAAATACAAAGTTAGGGAAAGAACTTGAGTCTTTGCAAAGGGAATTGGAGTCCGTCAAACAGCAGTATGAAAAAGAAAGCCGAGAACTTGAAAAGCTACGCAACGAACAAACTGAAAACAAAGAGAAAATTGACAGGTTAGAAGTCATAATGTTCACCTAAACAGCTAAAGCTTGTTCGTTACATGTTCAGATAACTCACTTGACTAGTTAAGCCCTGGGCAAACTAGGAAACATTATTGTGGAAACATTTGTGATTCTCGATGTTTCCTCAAATGTTTCCATGTTTGCCCACCCGTGGAAACATTATTGCGGAAACAAAATTTGCTTCCCGGGAAGCAAAAATGTTTCCTAGCAAATTCAGAAACATTTGATGTTTCCCTATGTTTCTCACTAATGTTTCCTAGTGTTTGCCCACTCTTGGAAACATGGCGAAACATTGCCGTAGGAAACAATGTTTCCGCAACAATGTTTCCTAGATTGCCCAGGGCTTTACCACACTGTTCTGATGATGTAATCATAGAATGCCACAAAGATAACCAAGAGTTTGCCAACCTAGGAAAACTGTTGCAAAAAATATTTCAAATTCATTTTTGTCACGGGAACATTATTTTTTTGGTTTGATCATCTTCAGGAAACATGGCTGGAAAACAATGTTGCCTGGTTGATGTAGGGCTCCCAAGAAATAATGTTTCCGAAAGATTATTTGCCTTAAGCTTCATAAGTTTATTTTGAAAATTTAGGTTAGAAAAAGCGAACAGCAAAGAAGCAAGGCAACGTAAGTCTGTTGAATACGAACTCAAGCTCGTCCTAGAGAAACTCACGGCATTGGAAGAGCTTCATAAGAAATGTGCAATAGAAAAGACATCTTTGAGAGATGAGATTATGAAGAGAAGCGGAAATGGTGATGAAGGTTATCAAACGATGGAACTTACTGTTGGCAAAGAAAAACAAGAGCTTCAATACCAACTAGAGGAGGTGAAGAGAAAGCCTACGTGAGCTAGTACATGTTCTTGAATGTGGGCTACCTTAAAATGATCTGATGTTGTACATAACTCACTGCTGAGTTAAGCATGGTTAGATCATACAGAGGTAGTACATGTTCTTGAATGTGAGCTACCTTAAGATCATCTGATGTTGTACAGAACTCACTGCTGGGTTAAGCATGGTTAGATCATGCAGAGGTAGTACATGTTCTTGAATGTGAGCTACCTTAAAGTGATCTGATGTTGTACAGAACTCACTGTTGAGTGAAGCATGGCTAGATCACACAGAGGTAGTACATGTTTTTGAATGTGAGCCATCCTAAAGTTATCTGATGTCGACAAGCCTTGATTTTTTCTGCAATTATCTATTAGGTTCAAGCAAAGTTGGTCAAAGCTGAATCATATCAAGCGAATGCCGAATTTGAGAAAGAGAGTCTAACATCCGAAATCCAGGACTCGAAAGCCTTAATCGTCACCTTAAAGACAAGCCTCGATGAACTCACGACAGAGAAAACAAGCTTAGAAATCCAAGTTGAGAAATACAAAGAAACAGAAGCCACGAAAGACCAAGAGATTAAAACGCTACAAAACCATGTGTCGACGTTAGAAATTCAAGTGAATGGCCTAAAGAAAGATCTGTCCGATAGTCAGATATCATATCGCGAGCTATTGTTCAAGTTTAAACCTGAACCCAATGGCGAACTAACTACAACCAAACTGGAATTACCGCTCAGCGGAAAATCGCAACAAACTACGAGCACGCAGATCGCCATCACCAGGACAACCGCGCAAACTACGTCATCAAGTTCCTATGACGTCACTAGTCCCGGATCTCCACGGATAAGTTCGCAATTGACTATCGATCGCAAGATTGGGTCAAAGGCAACCAGTAGCTCTCCCTCCAGTCCAAGGATGATGTCTCCCCGCTCCCCCCGGGTTGGACAAAACTCACCAACATTCGGTGTGCAATCAAACTTTGGGTAAGAAAAAATTATAATTTATACTGGGTAGCTCTATCAGTTTTAAACTGTTTTCCCTAGAGGTCCAGTAAGGATCATCTCTTATTGACCCAGTGTTACTACAGGAGGAAACCTAAACTAAACTAACTTTATTTATGCTGGATGACTCTATCAGTTCTAAACTGTTCTAAGCACTGTGTCTTTAAGGGAAATGGTTTATAAAATTCTATAGTTTTCTATCAATTTATTTTTCTTATTATTTACGAACAGATATAACTCGAGCTCAACGACGAAAAGAGAACGAAAGCGTACGACGAGCAGCGAAGTCACGACGTTAGAGTTCGAACATAGGTCGAAAACCCCCGAGTCGGAAACGATGATAATTTCCCCAAAGAGCCCGACAAAAAGTCCAAGTAAACAAATCTCCACGATGACTTTAAACGTGGGCAACACGCGTGACGCGACCCCACTCGAGATGAAGGTCGCTCGGGGCGAGGCGCAGGGCGAGTACGAGATTGCGGGCTTGGAGGCCCAACGCCAACGTAGACAAGAACGGAAAGAGCGCCTGAGCCAGATCAGCAAACGACCACCCATAGAATGACTTTAATATTTTAACTTTTTATAAACAAACGATATAGTATTATAGATATAGCTATGTAGGGGATGGCTTTCACTATAAGCATTATAGATCAGCTGCAGAAGGTGGACAACTCAGTTAAAACTGTTCAAACTTATAGGAACAAGCAAAATAAACTGAGTACGGATTGGATTACTTTCTCACTCTGATAACTGCAGGTTGACCATCATCTCTGCTCGCTAATGCTTAGTGAAAGCCATCATACAATAATTGTAAAAACACGAAAGCAAACGCATTCACGATCACGAGTTATACGGCAGGCAATAAAATATAAAGTATAGCACAACTCCACAGACTGCACAGTGTTTTGTATGTATTGAGTTCCTTGAAACTTTGTATCGCAATAAAACATTAAGTTATTCCATGCATATTGAATTGTACACTTTGAATGTAAAATTGTAAATACTACTAATGCAATTCAAAAAACGCAAAAACATTAAAGCGTAGTTTATTGAAATCAGTTTTGTATACTGGTGTGTTCCTTGTGAGAAGTCACATGTGAGAAGAATGGTTTCCAGTTTGATTCTACCAAAAACTCAAACAGGCCTTGCAGTTATTATAGACAGGCCTTACAGACAATGCTGTTATTTTATCAAGTTGCTACAAGGTTGTCACTCACAACTTGTTGACAAATTGTTGAATTGCAGGACGATAACAAGTTGTTGGAACAACTTGTAACAAGTCTGTTGAGCTCAACAACCTTGTAGCAAGTTGTCAACAAGCCGTCGACAACTTGTCAACAAGCTGGGAACAAGCAGTGCGAACACATCCTGGGGCCGATTGTATAAAAAAGTGATTAAAGTTAACTATAGTTAGTGGAAACGTCATCCAATAAAAAGCGCGTATTTGAGAGTTAATCACTATTTAACTACAAAATAGTGATTAAAAAAGTGATTAAGAGTTTTAAACAACGGCCCCTGGTTATTTCAGCAGCGAACGAAAAAGAGTTAACTACTTTTTAACTGCAGTTAGCGCTAACTACGTTTTTATACAACCGGCCCCTGTTGACAAGTTGTTGGAACAGCATTGCTACAAGTCTGCTGCAGGTTTGTTACAACTTGTGCGTTTATACCTGTGTATACACGTAAAAATCTCGCATCTGGTAGCAAATCTGCCAACAAGTTGTCTTCCCACTGCTTGTCCCAAGTTGTCAACAATTTTGAAACAAGCTGTTAACAACTTGTAACAACCTTGTTGATATTATCAGACTTATATTGCAAGGTTGTTCCAACAAGTCTGATACAGTCATGTTATAACAATATTGTTACAACCTTGAGTCGTCAACCTTGTAACATTCTTGTTATATCATGACTGTATCAGACTTGTTAGAACAACCTTGTAACAAGTCTGATAATGCCATCAAGCTTGTTATATATTGTTAACAGCTTGTTTCAAACTTGTTACAACAACTGGGAACAAGCAGTGCGAACACAACTTGTCGACAGCTTGTGAACAGATTTGTAACAACTTTCGAGGAATTAACTGATGGAGTTATTCGGTATGAATAAAATTAGTTTAGTTTTAGCGCTAAATGTTTATAAACAATGATTCTTTCTCTTTTCGAGAAAAGCTCCATTTAACCGCACATGCGCACTAGGTATTTTGAAACGACCGAGTGATTTGCATAACTCCTGAGGATTAGGTACGAATAACTCCATATATGGGCATAATGTCTGTTTAGTCATGTGACAATTGTTTTTTAAACGACGAAAGAAGAGCAAGGCGACAACAGAAGAGGAGAGTGGATATGTTCTGTTTTTTTGTTTTGTACGTATATTTTAAGCATTTTTAAAAGCTTTAAACCATTCTAGTAACGATGTGACTCATGTATTGTTGTTAGGCTTTCGTGTGGTTGTGTTTCGTGTCTGTTTTGTAGATTGTTTTGACGCGTTCGTGTTGTGTACCGAGATGCGACACTCGCTTTCCTTCGTGTTTGCGCTATTTGTCGATCATAAGTCTATGTTTTCGGCTTTGATATTTAGCGAAAAACTAAACCACGAAACGTTTAAGCGCTTAGAAGTTAGGCTATGCTCTCGTTGCTGCGAACGAGTTAATTTGTGGCCACAACTCACTAAACTAGTAACCTCATTTATACAAAAGCTCTCTTGTTTTGGCTTTGAGTGTAAATTCAATTTTGCCCCACGGGCAATTATGCGTATTTCATAGAAGAACAACGTATCTTATTTCTTTTTCGTTTTGTAGGGGGAAGCAGTGGGGATAGCCGAGTATTTTGTACAAAAACAAGCGCTTGGCAACGCTTGGAAGTAGCAAATTTGCCGAAACACATCTATCGTTAAAACCGCTTGTTTTTCAACCCGTCAAGTATACGGAAAATATTTATCAGAACTGTAGAATGAGTGACACGCAGAAACAGGCGACAGACGAGTCGCCTAAAAACGTTGAAACGCCGAAAAAACACGGCCGATTTCGGTCTTCTATGAGAAGTGTTTTTGGCAGAAGTGGGAAAAGCAAAAATGATGACTCAAGTCAAAGCAAAACAAGCAAGGATGCTAATTCGTCACAATCCCGGAAAAGTAGCTCAGAAGCCGTCTGTGTCTGCCCGGTGTGTTATGTTGTCAAACCCCAGTCGTTATTTCCTGATATTTCAACTTGCGAGCATAGAACTTGCGGCGATTGCCTCAGACAGTATATGACAATCGAAATCAACGAATCTCGAGTCAATCTGACCTGCCCCGAATGTGCAGAACGATTTCACCCGAATGACATCAAATATGTGCTAAACGATGAAGTACTCATGAACAAATATAGCGAGTTTACTTTAAGACGAACCTTGGTTTCGGATCCGGATTGCCGATGGTGTCCTGCGCCGGATTGCGGGTATGCTGTAATTGCCGCCGGTTGCGCCAGCTGTCCGAAACTCACCTGCGAACGGGAAAAGTGCAAGACAGAGTTCTGCTATCATTGTAAGCAAATTTGGCATCCAAATTTAACATGTGATATGGCGAGACAGCGACGAGCATCAAACATTCGGTCACTACCGATGAACGACAGCAAGAGTTTATCCGGTGAAGACATGAAGCCGTGCCCGCGATGTGGTGCGTTTATCATTAAGCTCGATGATGGTACGTGTAACCATATGACGTGTGCCGTGTGTGGGGCTGAGTTCTGTTGGTTATGCATGAAAGAAATATCCGATTTACATTATTTAAGGTAAGTTATTTCATGATGATATATCTCAGACATCGAGGTCCAGTGTATCTAGTATTCTACAATACGCTGTCGTGGTTTGTGTCTGAACTACCTGAAAAAGATATCTCAAACGTGGTGGTTCAGTGTAGGTAGTATTCTACCTGAAAAATATATATCAAATGTGGTGGTTCAGTGTAGGTCGTATTCTACAATAAGCTGTCGTGGCTTGCATCTGAACTACCTGAAAAAGATATCTCAAACGTGGTGGTCCAGTGTAGGTAGTATTCTACAATAAGCTGTTGTGGTTTGTGTCTGAACTACCTGAAAAAGATATCTCAAACGTGGTGGTCCAGTGTAGGTAGTATTCTACAATAAGCTGTCGTGGTTTGTGTCTGAAGTACTTGAATAAGATATCTCAAACGTGGTGGTCCAGTGTAGGTAGTATTCTACAATAAGCTGCCGTGGTTTGTGTCTGAACTACCTGAATAAGATATCTCAAACGTGGTGGTCCAATGTAGGTAGTATTCCACAATGAAGTTTCGTGTCTGAACAACCTAAAAAACATTAAGGAAGGCCATCCCTTCAAATATTAAAGTGTTTTTAATCTATCATATGTCAACCGTTGATATTGTCCAAGATTTGCAACCAGCTGCAATGTCAGAATACTGATTTGCATTTAATTGCTACATTTATATGTTAACTAAATCCAGATTCACTCTATATGTGTTTAATATTAATGCATGCTGGGAACAATTATTGTGTAAAACTACAGGTCAACTGCTTGTTAGTAACTAGAATATTGAATACTCTGATTGACTAACTCTCTTAAAAAAGCTGGTTAAAGATGAACTAGTTTTCATATGACAAGTTGTTCAAAAACTAGCATACTAGTTCCTGAATATGGTTTAACAAAGAAAATGCAACGTAAGTAACATGCTCAACTTGCATGCTGTAATAGCTAAGAATAGCTATCGTGGTGGCAGGAACACCCAAAACTTCTCCCAGGAAATCTGTTGTACGTACACAAGTGCAATTAGCAAATAAAACTTGCCATATCTAAACCTGTCGTGGAACATTTTTCCGTTTGTAACCGGCTTCAGCAACTATAGTTAACTTCAATTACATTTCATACATCTGGAGACTGCTTATGTAAAAATAACACTTACATTGTATTCATGATATTGCTGTAGACTATTTCATTGGTCTGTATTCGTGTGAGTTCTAAGTGGGACTCCACAGTATTGTTTGAAAAGGAAATGGACACTTAACAATATATGGCCGTCTCGTCACCTTATTTAAAAATTAATCATTTTAATTGAGGCTATGTGTTTGCAATGAAAAGCTTTCAAAACCTAAAAATCTTTTTGGCATGCCTCTCAAAATTACTTTGTTTTAGCGTTATTTTCTAGTTTACACAGTTCGCTACATTTTGAAATGCATCTGTCAGTTGAGAATCATAAAATAAGAGTAAAATATCGTCAGTTAAAATATAGTTATGAGCGATGCTTTAAAATGATTTTGCTTTATATTGCTGAATAAATATGATGTGAATTTTAATTCACATCATATTTATTCAGCAATATAAAGCAAAATTTACTGAATTTCAGACATAATTTTTTTTCTGGGGTATCATTGAAAATCTGCCAAGTTTGTTTTCTGATTGAAAAACATATCAAAATTTTTGAATGTAGTCCTGACCAAGTGCTATATTCTACTTGTTAGTTTTGAGCATATATGTTAATATGTAACAGACACAAAAGATCTCCTCTTAACAATGATGATATTGCAGTCATAATAGTACTTAAATGGAATTGTTTTGATGATGGGAAAACAGTATGCCCAAAAACAGGCAGGAGAAAAGATTAGATTCTGCATCGAAATGCATGATTTAATTAACCCACATAACTGCGGGATTACGGAAGATACAGCTACCTGACGAGTACAAACAGAACTTCGACGTTTCAAGCGAAGATCACTTTGTCGAGAAGTAGCTGCTAACTTTTTGACGAAGGGTATTTGCTCGAAACATCGACATTCTGCTTGTGTTTTTTATGTACTTGTATCTCTCATAATTCACAGTTTTCTTAATATTATTTCTACATACACTACACATAGACCTTTCTAGATTAACTCACAACATGTCTATTGTACTCTGGCTAGTGCAAAACAATTTCCTTGGCAATAGGAACTGTTTGGCTTTAACAGATTGAAATCAATCGGACTATCTGGCCATAATCTCTTGTTACAATGCATCCATTCGACCTGAGATAATTGTTATTTCTTACTGATTAAGTCACAAAAAAATGGGAATATTTTCTCACACACAGCTGGGGGCCCATTAAGGATGAAGAGATGCTGATAATATTGAATGCATTATTGTTCTTGCTCACCACAGCATGACAAGTGCCAGCCTTTTATTATTCAAACATTTTTTCTAATTTGGTTGACAGAATGTGAGCAGAATAAACAAGACTTTCGCATTCTGTACAAATCACAAATTGCTTGTGATCAATGTTGCAGCAGAATATTTTATTTAGAAAGTTAACAAGTGATTTTAGTGTGCACCCTTGCCTGTGAATACTGAGTCAATGTACTTGTATATTTGGCATTAAACCACTGAGTACCAGCCCTCTCCCCATTTCAAGTAAAATTGTCTGGAGTTAGACAAAGTAAAATGATAAACTAGGGCACAATGCAACTTAACCCATCAATAAGCTACCAAGCTTCCCCATTGACGAGTAAAGTCGACTGGCGTTAGACAAGTAAAAAAAAATAGGGCGCATTGTGGCTCCATGGGGGTTAACTAGAGACATTGTCATATTTTTTGGTTAACCCATTAAGCTGCAGAGCTTCCAATTAACAAGTAAAATCGTCTGGCATTAGACAAGTAAAAAAAAATAAGTAGGGAGCACTTTGCAGCTGAACGGGTTAATGGCTTAACTAGACACATAGGCATATGGTTAGATTAACAGATTGATTGCCAGCACTCTCCCCTTGATGAGTAAAATTGTCTGGTGTCAGACAGAATAATATGATAAACTGGGATGCGTTAGGGTGCAACACAACTTAATAGACAGATTTAGAAAAGACGACGCGACCTCAAAGACGACGTGAAAATGGCGTGTTCTGTCCATATATGGATGTGCCACGCCACTTTGACGCCATTTTCACGTCGTCTTTGAGGTCGCGTCGTCATTTCTAAATCTGTCTAATGGCTTAACTAGACACATGGGCAGCTAGTCTGATTATAATCTTGAGATGTGTGTGTCATTGTAGGTAGTGGCATCCCTTCGGATTGATAGGGATGCAGGTACCTGAAAAAGACAAGGAAAACCTTGATATTCAAGTTCTCCTTGTGTTTTTAACGAATCCGAATATAGTCTGAGTAAAATCATCTGGTGTTAAACAGAGTAAATGAAAAATTAATGGGTTAAAGTATATTAACACATCCTATCATATTTTAGTCCTTCTGGCTGCACGTTTTGGGGTAAGAAGCCGTGGAGTAGAAAAAAGAAGATTCTCTGGCAGATGGGCACATTGATTGGTGCTCCCTTGGGCATTGCATTGGCCGCTGGTGTCGTTCTCCCTGCCATGGTTATTGGTATTCCTGTGTATGTTGGTCGTCAGGTAGGTTGCTTCTTATCTTGTCTTACTGTCGTTCCAATTGAAGTGTTCTTCAAATATTGATTCAATACATTACCTCGGGCTGACCAATTCATTTCATCAAGTTCCTCGAGATATTCATACACTTCCTAGTATAATTGTAAACTTCCTGTTGAATAGCTTAAATGCACCAATCATCTTTGTTGTTTGTGCAACTAACCAATCATAAATAGAGAGGAAGTGACCAGAAATGATCAAATTCTTGGAATTGGCTCTTTCACAGGAAGTGTATGAATATCTCGAGGAACTTGATGAAATGAATTGGTCAGCCTGAGGTAATGTATTGAATCAATATTTGAGCAACACTTCAATTGGAACGACAGTAAGACTTAACTCATTCTTGTGTGCATTGCACAAAGGATATTTTGTTTTCGGTGTAAAGTCATTTGACGTTAGAGTGAAATAATGAGGTTGGGTGCATTGCAGCTTCATGGATTAACAAGACGCGTTGGTAGATATTGTTTGGTTACCCAATGCAATCAATGCGCAAATTTCTTCCCTTCACAAGTAAAATCGTCTGGTGTTAGAAGGAAGTAATAAAGTAGGGTTTATTTGGGTGCATTGCAGCTTACTGTCGATGCAATGGAAGTGTTGATAAAATATTGCATGAATTCATTTCCTCAAGTTTTTTATTTATTTATTTATTAAACTTTGCCAAAAACACTTAACAGAACAGCAAATAGACATCTACACAATAAACATGGACAAAAATGGCAGGGACACCACAACAGTGTAAACCAATTACTGTGGGCCCTATACAAAAATACACATACAGTACAGAACATATAACATACAGTACATGGACAGGAGTCTAAAAACAACAAGTTAGTTCAGAACGTAAGTAACGACTAGTGTTACACTTCAGACAAATAGTCTTCCATGTCCTCGGATCTTCTTCGTCGAAGCATTCTCTCAGGGCTGTCAGGTAGTAAGTTTGTAAATCGGTTTTGAATTGCCTAATATTAATGTCAGGAGATCTTAGTGTAGTTGGTAAAGAGTTCCAAGTTCTGGATGTACGAATAAAGAAGGAGCGTTGGTAGGTAGAGGTTTTGCATTTGGCCGGACGGAAGGAGATTTGGTTGCCACTGGAGGATCTGGTCGTTCTGGTTTGGGACATGACTTCGGGGAGGACGTCATGGGACACGTCGACCAAGCCGTTCACCGCTTTGAAAAAGAACACGAGATCCAAGTATTCATGCCAGTAAGATAGCGGTAAGAGACCCAGACTGGCAAGTCGTTCCCGATAAGTCTCACTGCACAAGTACGGAAGGTTTAAAATGTACTTCGTTGCTCTTCTTTGGACCCGTTCCATACGTTGGATGAGGGTCACGGTTTGAGGCGACCAAACCTGGCTCGAGTAACCAAAAACCGACCGAACCAAAGACAGATACAGAGTCCGGCGGGTCCTCGCGTCGCTTATTTCCCAGAACATCGCTTTATAAATCCAAGGAGTTTGTTGGCACGGGTACACCGGTCTAAAATGTGTTTAGACCAGGTTAGATCGCTCGCAATCCAAATTCCCAGATCGTTCTCTGCTGGTATAAGTGCAAGTTCTTTGCCTTTGATGCTATATAGATGATGGATTGGTTGACTACGTCTGGTAATGCTAATACTTTTGCATTTTCCTTCGTTAAACACGAGACCGCTTGTTGTTGATCAAGTTGATCAGATCAATACGAATTCAAATTTCTTTTTACTTCCTGTGCGTTTCCTATTGGTCAATCGGTTCTGAAACGAAATCTAATTGGCTCGTCTAAAAGTAACAGGAAGTTGATCAATTTTCTATCAAATGAATTGATCAACTTGAGGAAAGGAATTGGTGCAATATTTTATCAACACTTCCATTGCATCGACAGTAATGGGTTGATAAGGCACATTGGTAGATTGTTTGATTAATCCATTGATGCGCAAGGCCCTCTTCCCGGCGAATAAAGTCATCTGGTGCAGTTAGACAGAGTAAAGTATTATGAAGTAGGATGCATTTGGGTACATTGCAGCTGGGTTAATGTTTCATTTAACTTTAGATGCACGAGAAGTACAACAGGCCATATCACACGAAGAAAAAGCGAAACATTGCAATCATCAGTGGCGTCACTCTGTCCATTCTCGTCTCACCGATGCTTGCCGCTCTCACCGTGGGTGTGGGGGTACCCATCGCCCTCGGCTACATCTACGGGGTGGTCCCTATCTCCCTGTGCCGCAGTGGGGGATGTGCTTCGGTCACAACGAAGAATGGCCGAGGTGTGAACCTGGAATTTGATTCGGATGGTGACATGGTGACAAATCCTAATGAAAGGTCGGGGGCAATGGAAGCAAGCTCTGCTGCTGAGGAAAATATCGATGGCGTGGTTACTGTTGTAGCGACAGTCAACACCAGGGCACCAGGTTTGTGTTGAATTGTTGTTCTCGTAACTGAAATTAGAAACAGAGCTATACCATGGGGGTACAAGATGGTGTAATCTTGAAACGATTGTAGGAATGGAACTTGTGTCAATTATTTTTGATGACAAAGAACATCTCGTAACGTCATCAAATATGTTATTTGTGATGTTACTCTGAGTGTATATCCACACCGGGCAAGTTTGAAAAATATGCCTGCCTGACCACGGTGGGAATCGAACCTACGACCTTTGGAATACTAGCCCAATATTTTTCAAGCATTTTTCAGGCATATTTTTCAAGCTTGCCCACTGTGGATATACACTCAGAGTAACATCACAAACATCATTCACCTGAGTACATAACACCAACACCATCAAATATATTTATTAGATGAATTAAATTCACGATCGTATATATCTTTTTTTCGCACAGACACTGAAAGTGGCAAGCAGCCCAGTGTGAGTTTAAGTCAAGAATGTTCAAGTCTTGCCAGCAGTAATATCGAACCTAGTGGCCGTGAAGATTCTGGCTCGATGATCCCTGGACCTCGGAGTTGCGCAGTCAGCATCGCAAGCAGCATCGAGAATCTGAACATTACCGATCATACACCGAGTCCGTCGCTGACCGGAATATCTTCGGAAACCGCCGAGCACGATCGTGTGAGCACGAGCAGTATTCCGAGCAGCAAAACGTCGAGTGATTCGTCGCTGAAGAAGGTCGTCCAACTTAAGGTGGCTAGCGAGAGCAGAGCTCACGATGCGGAACAACCCACCGTTGTGGCCGAATCGTAAATTGTATCTTTTAAATAAATACTTTAGATTATTGAGTACGATATCTTAAATACAAGTATCTAATTAGAAGATGTTTGAGTGCCTCTTCTCTCTCTGTGAACAGAATGAAAACCCCGTGTTCGCATCCGCGAATGAACAGGTACAGGTAGTCTGTCTGTTGCACTAAGAAAACAAGGTTATTGAAATTCTTGAATGTGGTTAGATGTGATATCTTCTGATATATCACACTAAGTTATTTAGTCTTTTTTCACTTGCGATGCAAGCATAAAAGCTTTAAGGCTGGTATATTTATAATGGCTGGTTTACACGATTAAAGTTTCTGTGATCACAGAGGTATATTCTACGTTTTGAATGATTTGTATAAGAAATATCTGAGGGAACTCTTTCAGAGTTTGATACTGAGTTTCCTCAAACATTTCTTACAAATTCTTCAAAACTTAGAATTTACCCATGCAAAATTCCTACTGTGATAGGGTGCAATAATTCAAGATTTTTAGTTGTACCTGACTGGTACTCAAATGATTCTTGCCTTGAACTGGTGCAAGACTCAAGGTGTACTTATAGTCTTTAAAATGAAGTACTTGATCCAGGTTTCTGAAAGATTTTCATCCAGTAACCTAAAACTAGGAGTTTAATATAGATCAAGGAGTACTATTGGATATACAAACACTACAATCGACTCCAATATTTCTTGGTTCCATTTGATCTCATCGCATTAGTGTCCAATCGTGTTCAATGCCAAGTCCTGTCAGACTTGCACATTTTCCGACTAAATTATGGCTTGGTAGCAGCAAAAAGTAAGCACACAGATAGCAAGAGTTCCGCGTATACCTACGTGGTACTTGGCCGAAAACAAATAAGAACCAGACTGTAATATTAGACAGATTTAGATCGAGGACTCGGACGTCAAAGACGACGTGAAAATGGCGTGGCATATCCATACATGGGCACAACACGCCATTTTCACATCGTCTTTGACGTCCGCGTCCTCAATCTAAATCTGTCTATTGGCGAACCTCCGGTTATACGTAAGTACGCGAATTATTGCACCCTGATTGTGATCACAGAAACAGCAGTAAATGATTAGATTTTCTCGGATAAGGACGTTAAAATCGTCCAAATAGACAGTGAACTGATCGTCCCTGATATTTTCCTGATAAGGAAAGCCGCATTTGTACACATAGAGACAGATCATCAGTGAAGACGAAGTACACAGACACACAAGTTCGTCCGAGCAGACGAATGACGTAGATAGTTAGCTTCATTGATGATCCATGTGCTTGTTATTTCGCTCATGCTTTTGTATCGCAAGTGGAAACTTAGTTAGTTAAAAGTGAAAACCATGCTTTTTTCAAAAGTCTTTGAAAATACTGGTATTCGCGAATGTTCTTTTTGTGTCAAAACGTTAAATAAATACACATCCGCTTTAGAAGCGAGAACATTTCATTTATTTGACTAATGCACCCCAGTTGATTGAGTATGCAACTGTTACTGTAAATTAGAGTTGAGTGAATTTTGTATATATATAGTGTGTAGATTATGAATTAAAATTGTTTTTTTCTTGTGCAATATTCTGAATCTTAATACAACTCATTTCATAAACCTAATGACATATTGTAACATAATACAAGTGTTACGGTGCATTGATAGAAGACCATAGAACAATATATCCCAGCCCAGGGAAAAGTGAAAAAAATATCAACCGTTCATTCGCGTTGCAAATTCGTTGGGGGAAAATCAACTAATCAAGAAAGGAAAACGTATATTCGGACTTTTATCCCCCCCCCCCCTCCAGACCACAATGCATCGTTCTTCAAAAAACGGCGTCACAGTTTGTGAAAAGATCTATTTACTGTAACAACGATACCGGATATTGAACCCTAGTACCAATCCCGGGGAACTTCTATTTCCTGGGTAATATTCTCGTATCGATGTTCTGGATGATTGCGCAAGTTCAAAGTTCGGTTGCCACGCTGTGACATTTTGCAAGTTTTTCTAGACTTTTTCATACTTTTTTTATAATTTAGAAGCTTCCCTTTTTACGTGGGCAAAAATGTCGAACTCAACGTTTGCAGGTAAGGTCAAAAACGTATGGAATATAGCATATATATGTATATTAGGCAATGTAGCCAATTAGATGTAATAACTGATTTAATTGACAAACTGTATTTGTCAAATACTGCACCGGCGAATTACTTATTTTGGCTATTTTGCTGGCAAAAAGCTGCAGATATTAAAAATTGTTGTTTAATTTAAAATCAAATCTCGTATCTATTAGATTCTTACTGAGTTAAGTGAGTTTGACCAATAGTCCAAATAGTCAATAAGTCAAATATCTAATATAAATTAGCCCCAGGGGTGAAGTTTGTGTCAGTGATAAGTTAGTATTCAATGATAAACTGCTGTAGCTAATAGTCTGAAAATTATTAAAAATACATTAACATTTAAATTTAATGTGTTTTTAATTAACATTTGCAACCGCTACATTTGCAGACGTTTTACCCTAGTACCTATGACGGCCCTTCTGAAATTGTGAATATATAATGATCAGGCGAAATAAAAATATATTACACATGAGCATTTTTGATTTCAGAGAGGTTTCTTGGTTTCTTGGAAAGAATTGTGAATCTTCAGGCATTTCCATTTGCTGTCGCATACATGATCATGGTTCTCTTATCGCCGATGTGGAGAAGACTTGTTCGACCTTTTCAATTGAATATGGTATGCTTAGAGGCTAGAAATTGTATGTATCAATGAAACTCTATCAGTTTTAACCCTTTAAGTGGCAATGTGCCCTGATGCCCCTACTATATGTTACTCTGTCTAACACCAGACGATTTTACTTGTCAAGGGGAGAGTGCTGCCACTCAATAGATAAGGCTGTCACCCCCTGAAAACATTTAAAATGAGTGGCCAGGCTTAGGCATTCAGGGGGGAGTGCCTCTCAGAAGCACCTGGTTAGGACTATATGGTGACAGCATTGTGATTGCAAATCATGGCGTGACAGTGGTTACAGTCGGAGCTCTGTATCTAAGCTAGGCCGAAAAGAACCCTGTTGTTCAGGGTCAGTAGGTCGGAAATAATTTTTTTTTTTTAATACTTTTTTCATGGTTTTGGCGTTTTTTTTTGCTGGGGGATTTTAAGTGGAGTCCCAACATCAATATTAACTAGAGATAAGTATTTCCTATGGACAAATTTATGCAATTTGGTTCAATAATTATTGTGACAACAGACACCATTTTGGCACGCTGTATGAGCAGCCCGCAACCACCCGGAGAAAATAGGGTCGCACCGTCAATTGCGTTGAAAAAATAATAGGGTCGGCATAAAAAAATAGGGTCGGTCGGGAACCGGAACCATCTATTTTTTTAGGCCCTACTCTGTGACTGCATACTGAACCCCTTCCACAGAGAGATGAAGGACATATGCATACTGTACTAAAAGAGCTGTTAAAAGAATATCGAGGGCAGGGGCAATGTCGCCTGACCCAGATTTTGGGTACAAAAGAGCAGAAGATCTATATAAGTATTTAAACTATACAAATATTGAAAATATACAAAGCCTCTGAAAATTTTCATTCTTGTTATAGGTGATGGTCGTTTACAACTTTTTCTGCAGCTTGTTAAGCCTATACACAGTTGTTTGTTTTGTTATAGCATTTGTCAGCTCTATGGATTTATTTGATATGACCAATCACGAGAACCTTAAACATCCGTTATTTGTTTATTGGTTGACAAAATGGATTGAGTTGTTTGATACAGTCTTGATGATATTACGACACAAGGAGAGACAGATTTCATTCTTGCATGTAAGGTTCTTGTTTGCTTTCATTACTTAGGCTACCTGTGGTAGCATACATGTGGGTCCAGTGTAGGTAGTATTCTGCAATAAGCTGTCGTGGTTTGTGTCTGAACTACCTGAAAAAGATATCTCAAACGTGGTGGTCCAGTGTAGGTAGTATTCTACAATAAGCTGTCGTGGTTTGTGTCTGAACTACCTGAAAAAGATATCTCAAACTTGGTGGTCCAGTGTAGGTAGTATTCTACAATAAGCTGTCGTGGTTTGCATCTGAATTACCTGAAAAAGATATCTCAAACGTGGTGGTCCAGTGTAGGTAGTATTCTGCAATAAGCTGTCGTGGTTTGTGTCTGAGCTACCTGAAAAAGATATCTCAAATGCGGTGGTCCAGTGTAGGTAGTATTCTACAAATTACAATAAGCTGTCATGGTTTTTGTCTGAACTATCTGAAAAAGATACAGTAGCTCAATCGTGGTGGTCCAGTGTAGGTAATATTCTACAATAAGCTACTAACCGTGGTTTGTGTGTGAACTACCTGAAAAAGATATCTCAAACGTCCAGTGTAGGTAGTATTCTACAATAAGCTGTCGTGGTTTGTGTCTGAACTACCTGAAAAAGATATCTCAAACGTGGTGGTCCAGTGTAGGTAGTATTCTACAATAAGCTGCCGTGGTTCAGTTGTGTCGGAACTAACTGGAAAAAGCTCTCAAATGTGGTGGTTCAGTGTAGGTAGAATTATAAATGAAACTATTCAAATTTTCATTTCAATATTCTACAGGTCTACCATCATTGCTCTGTGTTACTGCTAAGTGATCTAGCTTACCATAGCTACCAATGGCCTCCAGTTGGATTTGTGCTATGTATGAATTCATTTGTTCATGTATTTCTGTATCTATACTACGGTCAATCAGCATTATTTCCTGGTCAACGTCCCGTGTGGAAAAAACGTCTGACGCAACTACAAATCCTACAGTTCCTGGTTGGTTTAGCTCATGTCACGTATGGTTATGCATATCGCGGCTTTTGTTTATATGGGCCTCTGTATTGCCTAAGCATGTTACTTCTGTTCTCAAATTTTTATTATTATGCTTTCGTTCGGCAAAAGTCTGGAAGTAACACCAACAACAACAACAAAAAGAAAACAACTTAGTTTAATACTACTAGCTAGCTGGTTAATCGAATTACGAATGACAAATAATCTAGTTTCCAACTGATTTTTCATTATATTTAATTATCAAACATGTTGAATATGTTGTCGTTTACTTGTGGTTATATTTTTACTGCACATGCATTTTTACATATTGTACAGTTTTTTCGACAAAAAAACTGTTCAATGAAAGCAACTTAGTCAGTTAGTTTTTTAATATAATAACTAGGCTAGTCGCTGTATACATTTTGTAATTATACTCTTTAAAAAGTCATTAATAATTCAGGGCCCATTATATATAAATCGTATATAATTCACGACAAAGCAAATCATGACTGTGAAAGATCTTGTCAGTCAGGTATTTTTTAAGGATTCTTTAGTGGTGGGGCAAAACTGCCGAAAGGGCCCATTTCCTTGCTAAGGATAGTATGCGATCGCCGAAGGTGTGAGCCGAGCACCACAGCCACGAGATAGCTAGGGGGGTCGGGGGGCATGCCCCGAGGAAATGTTAAGATTTGGATCTCTGAAATAGCATTTCCTGCATTCTGAGAACACATTAAACAAAAATCTCAACTTCTCAAAACAAAGTTTTAATGGTGAAATTTCAAACACAACATAAGTTCAAGTATGCTCGCCAACAAATTTTGTTTTAAAATTTCTTTTCAATGTTAAACTCATTTACTCAATACAGCTCATAGGGCCCTGGCTTAGGGGCAATAGGCAATTTTTTTTCTTCAGTGGTGGGGCAGAGGAAGGGACCCCGTGGAGCAAATGCCCCACCAGTCCATGGTATTAAAAAATGCCTTGTTGTCAGTATTTCTGATACAGAATCCGGTTGATTGAATAAACGTATTATTCACCATTGTCATGAAATATAGTTCATTTAAGAAATTAAGATATTATTCAAGATTACGAACGAAACTGAACGTTTTCATCAAGACGCATAACGATAAGCTATAGTCAGGCTATAGCGTTCGCGTCTGTATTTTTTATAGTTTTTTTTTACGCTTTGAAAGAAAATAATCCCAATAGTGATATTTAATATCTATATGGATCTTTCATTTCGACGTTAGTGCTACCTATTAACATATAAATTGGAAGAAGAGCTTTTGGCGATTTTCTTCATTTTGAAAAATCATTATCTTGTTTCATAATTGCATGCAAATGGTTTTTACTTCAAAAGTTCAGGTTAATTTTATAATCATGTACTTGAGCCGCCAAAGTCGTTCGATGACAGTGCCGCTCGTTTTTGAAAATGTCATTGTTTCTGATTCAAGAACCGAGCCGATTAATGACATTAAGTATTTAATTATTTCAAAAAGTAAGACTATTACTGTAAATTTAGAGTATTATATATCCGATGGACATATTTAAAGTTTCCCATTATCAATATCCATGAATTGTATAAAAGGATTGAATTAATTTAGAAACTACTAAAAGGAGAAGTTTTAGTTGAAAAGAAGAACAGATTCGAGAATTTTTGAACAAGAAAAAAATGATCAACTTCACTTTTTCAGAAGATGTCGGACATTTGAAAATTTGTCACACTTTAAACTACGAGCTACAAATGATACAGAATTTCCCTTCAAAAGCGTATTTTGCAAATCAGGTTGTAGTTTGCGTTCTGAGTATTTTTATATCACTTTCAACAATCTTTCTAAACTTGGCAACAATCGTAACCTTTCGTTCATCCAGTCAACTGCAAAAGAAAATGTGTCATTTCCTAATTTACGTTCAATCTTTGAACGATCTAGGAATCGGCGTGATAGCCTCGCCTCTTTACTCCATACTTGTTGCGAGCGAACTGGTGGGTAGTCCAAATTGCGATGTGTTTCTTGCCTTTTATATTATATTCTATACAACGGTCGGTTTTTCCGTGGTCATACTGTCCGCTATGAATCTTGAAAGATACGCAAGCATTGTCCATCCTGTCTACCACCGAAATAAAGTCACAAAAAGGAAACTTTTGATTTACGTATTTTCCTTTTCTGCACTGTTTCTGTGCGTCTCCCTCGCTTCCCTTGTACTTAGTGAAAATATTTTGAGCAAATTTTCAGGCTATGTGTTCCTGTTGCATTTCGTTAGTACTGTATGGCTGTATACAAGGATTTTTCTCGTTGGCAAAGCTCAATTAAAAAGAAGCGAGCCTCGTCTGAATGCTCCCCAAGGCAACGCTCAGAATCGGGCGAATGATATACCAATGCAACGGGAAAATCATCACGGTAATCGATCAGATAATCAAGGAAATTCATTAGATAATCAAGGCAACACTTCAAATACTCAAGGCGAGTTATCAGATAATCAAGACGAACTTCAAGGAGAACAATCAGATAAGCAAAGTAGTCCAACAGGTGATCAAGGACATTCATCAGATAATCAAGAAAAACCATCAGATAATCAGCATAATCATTCAGATAATCAAGATGAACGTGAAGGACAACAATCATATAATCAAGGAGAACAATCAGATAAGCAAAGTAATCCAACAGGTGATCAAGGACATTCATCAGATAATCAAGAAAAACCATCAGATAATCAAGGCAAGAGTTCAAATACTCGAGGCAGGCCATCAGATAATCAAGGACGACAATCATGTAATCCAGACGGAGGATTAAATAATCAAGGAAGGCCATCAGATAATCAAGACAGACCATCAAATAATCAAAGTAATCGATCAGATATTCAAGCTGAAAGCAGCCAACGTAACAAACTAGCAAACCAACAAAGCAATTTGAATGGCATCAGAAAACCATCTAGCCAAGCTTCGTCCAATAATAGAAGATCTGAACAGGAATTATTGATGAAATTTAAACTAGCAAAGTCATGTCTGGTCGTGGTCGTATGTTCGTTTATAGCGTTTCTACTGCCGCCGGTTTTTCAGCCTTTGGAGTTGAATAAGTTTGATGAAATAATTCTTGATGGATGGTTCACTATTCTAGTTTTACTAAATTCGACATTAGATTCTCTGATATTCTTTTGGAAAAACAATATGTTAAGAAGTGAAGCGAAGAAGGTTTTCAAAAGCATTTTGTCTTAACTGATTTTGTTGTTCTCACTGTGCTGATAATGTAAGGATAGAATGAAACAAAGGTAACTAATCGTTGAAATTGTATTTGTGTGTGAATTAGGTGGCCACGTGCAGTGGTGCCTGAATTACTTTGAATTTGTACTCGAGTAAAAGTAGAAGTAATTTACAATAAAACGACTTGAGTAAGAGTAAAAAGTACTGGAAGCAAAACGTACTTAAGTAAAAAGTACAAAGTATCCTTAAAAAAAACTTGATGTACAAAGTAAAAGTAAAAGTACTATTGTCTATAGCGTGTAGGGGGGGGGGATTATCCATTGATGGACTGAGATACAAAAGACACAAAACAGCACACGCATTATAAATATACAATATTTCACGGCATGGTCTACTTTCCAGACCCCATTGAAGAAATAAGAAACCATTAAAATAAATAATGCTTATAAGTCACAAACGAGAGATCCCAAACGCATGTAGAGGTCCTATTACCTATCCCAAAATTAAAATAAATCAGGAATAAATTACGTAAAATTAAACAGATGTTTATAGAAAGTAACGAAATACTTCGCCACAAAATGAAAATAACGAAGTAAAACGTTACTTCTTAAAACGACTTCGTTCCAGGTAAAAATACTCCAGAAAAAGTTTACTTTGTTACATGCTCACTTCTCAAAAATAATACTCAAGTACAGTAACGAAGTACATTTCTTTACTTGACACCACTAGCCTTACGCATGCTCATACCCACCACGGGTATGAGCATGCGTAAGCGTATTGGCTCTATAAATATGTATATATGGATTTGAGTTTAATGATATTTTAACAGGGGCATGTAAATAAGTATTATATCATGATTGTAAGTAGTATGTCGTGGTTGTAAGTGTTAATATATAATTATATTATGACAGGTCATTGGTATCAGTGTTTTTACACTGCAGAAAGAAATCATCCTGTTTCAATAAAATTATTCTGTTCTCTAAGCGTGCTTTGGTTCACGAAATGTTGAAATGATCGTTCGCACGGAAAACAAGAAACCAGACGAATAATGAATTGTAGCACAACTGATACCCATATAACAGAAGTGTTTGTTACTGTTTGTTTTTTTCCCAGTTTATGTTACTTTGACTACTTTGTGCACGGCATTTTCTGAATCAGGGTTGGTAAGTTGATGAGATGAATAATTAGGCCACATCGTCATTGGTGCCGTCGGTTTAGAAAACAAAGAAAACAAAAGGCCAAGACAAAGAAAACAAAGACCTAGTGTGATGGTGTTTGGCCTAATTATTCAGCAAACCTACCAACCCTGTGACTGTGTCTGATTGAACTCACTGTAGTATTTTCGTATAATGAAGTAACCATCCAATAGGGATAGCTGAGATGAAACGTGCAACCACGATGAATAATATTTAGTGAAGTTGAGACAAAGGATTTGTGCACGGTGTCGGTGAGTTACAGTTCAACATCAAACAAAGCTCTTCTATTTTGTAACTTTGAAGTTTGCCGGGATTCCAGAACATAATATCTTAATAGATTATGTGATACCATATATGAAACACAATCTGAAAATTAGTGTCTTGAAACCCAGGACATGAGTCAATATGGTCAAAACAAGACAGCAATGAGTTTGAAATATCACACGCTCATATCTTGTATGTAAAACTTTATTTAATGGCCCTAGGCTTGTTAACAGCAATAGTTGATTACAAGGGACGTCAGTTTCAAGATGCTAATCTTTGAATTGTGTACGTCGTTTTATGTTTTTTAGTTTGTCTGCTGGTATTGGTTTTTAACTGTACGAATTCCCGTGAGAACAAATTGAACTGGGCAGATATCCTCATATCCATACAGTTAAGTACAGGCACCCTATTAGATCATGAGTGACAGGCACTCCTTGGTGAGCCATCTTGAATTGCAATGATCCACCATATTTATGCTTACATGAATTATAATTTTTGGCTCATATACGGGGGGAGGGGGCGTTCTTATCCGTTATGATTCCGCCGTTTTATGGTCTTTTATCATCACCAATTATCGGAAAACGTTTCTAAGGTAAAATACTATATTTATAGGCAACGCCTTTCCTTAAAAGGTCAAATTGCTTCCCGAAACAATTCAAAATATTGCATTGATATTGATTTCCGATTCTTTAATACGGCATTTTTCAATGACGCGGGTAAATTTCCAGCTCTCTGATTGGTCCATTGCGGTCGCCTGGAATTTCAGCCTAAGCTAAGAGCTCTTATCTTTATGGAATTATCCTTGAAAAGAGGAGTTGTGCATATAGTTTCAAGGATATTTTTCCAGATTAATATTTTTTAGGTCACAGAGATTAGGGTATGGATTAAGAGTTAGTTAAGATTAAGATGGCTTAGGATTGATGCAAGGATTTGATTAGGGATTAATTTAAGGAGTTAGGATTAAGATTATAAATATTAAAGTTTTAGGAAAACTAAGGAATCTCGAAGATTTTAGCAAGGAATTTTAGCATTGCTTGAAGGACGCGCTTGACTAGTTACGTTGGCGGATTATTAAAAATTCGAAGCATAGTATACAACAAATTGTGAATTTTTTTTTAACAAGAAACAGCTCAAATTACAAAGGAACATGGCTTCAGAAACCTTTGAGGTTTCGTTATACGGTGGTTCACCTTGGGGTTTCCGTTTGCAAGGAGGAAAAGAGTTTAGAGCCCCGCTTTTGATAGCCAAAGTGAGTATATATTAACTATTGTTGAGAATGTCACAGCATTTATACACCAAGTTTGGTGTGAATTTACTTTAGTTAATAGCTGCGGAGAACTCATGCTGGTTCAGTTCAAATCTCTGCTGTTATTTTACGATACGGTTCGCGTGTTCTCCAGTGCCAGCTTGTAACTTGAGACCATTTTTGACAGCATTTTAAAACCTGGCAAATGCCGTCTAGACGGCCATTTAACTACTCGTACTTTACAGTCTTGTAAATTATTTTGTTTATACTTTTCATATTTTTGTAACCCTAGCAATTTCGTATCAAAGCTCAAACTTTAGTGTGTTTTATACATTCTTTGCTCTCCTTTGCCACAAAGCGACTGAGTTTAATTATAGTTTTAAAGCCCTAAAACTCCTCTATTGGCGAATTGTAAATTTGTGAACGTACTAGAATTTGGAATGTGGTTTTCGAACGCTATAAATATAAATTTGCCTACTATAAACTTGCGGTAAACCGATAAATTAATACTTAAACTCTTACTCAAAGATGGTAAAGGTCTATAAATGGAAAATAATTTAGTTTACCCGACTCAAATTATACAATTGCCTTGCCAAACAGCGCGTATTTAAATTTGCGTAACACACTTAAGCCTTAATTGTTTGCCATTTGGCAGTATAAAACTTTATAATACTGCATGGTCAAAATAATTTCCCACGAATTAGCCCTTTAAATATTTTTTTTATATAAAAATCCATATCTTGTTACTCTTTAATAAAATTTTTACATGTATAAAAAAGCTGCTACCAAATGCCTGTGGCCATTTTTACATGTAAACTAACACGAAATGACATTTGTAAACAATCGAAATAGTTTTGAAATAATTTTATTTGCCTTGAAAAATTTTGCTTTGTCAAAGAATTCGATGGCAACAAGATTAGTATTGATAGTTTCCTGTCATTCTAACAAACATTTTTGGCCAAATTAGTTTGAATATTCGCCTGAAAGGCTCGCTCGTGTGGCAAATCGAAAAGTTTGTTTTTGTTAGCGAATACAGCGATAGTGTTACTGTAATTAATTTTGGACAATTTATTGGAGGGAATAACCCGACTTTTAGTCGGCTTTTCGGCTGCATCTTACCAGTTTGGTTAAAAATCTCCCTGGATATAATTTCAAGATTTTAGGTGATCAAAATATCAAAGTTTTAGGCATTTTTTTCAAAGCAAAATCGACCTAAATTTGGTCCAAAATTATGTAGCAATAATGTTGACTAGCTACATTTTCCATGCATCTGATTGGCTGTTATTTAGAATAAGAATTTTGGAAAAAATTCTAAATGATCAATAACGTGTTTTACATGCAAATGTGGCTTAATGGACATTATTTTGTGATTTCCTAAACAACAATAACATGTAGACCCCCCAAAGTCTTGAGAAACTCCTTTAGAATTAACAAATTTTCACTGAAATTTCAGTTAGTACATATAAACTTTGTTGGAGATTACAATTGTCCCATGTTGGGTCCCCCCCCTGGATAAATAGATCCAAGTAATATCCCTAATCTGGTTAGATGCAGAAATAGACCATAGGTACGAGGCCAGTTTTCTAGTAGATATTATCAAGATTTTTATGGCATTCTCACTCGAATGAATAATATTATATTTGATGGATATTGTAGACGGGGATTGTCGAGTGGAAATTTATATATGTAATTTATTAGACCTATAACCAGGAACAGGAACGAAAAGTCCCATCAATTTTGTAGTACTCTGTAATAAACTGCATGCTGGGTTAGTTTCTTAAGGCCACCTTAAAAATTAAAGGCTTAATTCATCAGTCAGACTTGTCAAATGATGCTTGTTTGCGACTGTTTGTGTAATATGTTTATGTTTTACAAGTTAAAGCATGCGGGATTAAATGGGCTTAAGTCATTGTGGGAATATTATGCTTACATTGATGTTCATAACCCTCAGAATTAACCTCGAGAATAAAAGTGAAGAAAGTTCTAGCACTTGACTCACAGCTTGCCAGGTGGCATTGTGTTTAAACTTGACTTCATTTCTACTTGATTGTTCTGTCATCTTTGAACTGTTTGTTTTTGAGATTCAGTAGGAGCCAAACCCTTATTCATCCAGCTGTTACAGAGTACTCAGAGAAAAGTTTTCAGTACTGTCGAGTCAAATTGAAAGCACTCTTCTCTCATGTAACTGTGAACTTATGATTAGACATTACTGCAATTTGCAGGAATTACATGACGAAGGTCACAGAGATGAAAAACACTGAATGCCAATTTCCACTTGGGGAAATTTTCCGCAGAAAGAAAATTTTGTA